GGCCCCTTCGCTCCTCTGGCCGCGCCCGGCACCCCCCAATGGCTCCTCCGGAGTCCGGCCGTGCTGCCCGCGCCGCCCCTCCCCCCTTGCCTGCAGGAGCCCAGCGCCGGCCTGGAAGGCACCGCTTTTGAAAAATGTGCTGAGGGGAAGCGGCTGCTTCCTTTGAACCCCCCTAGCTACGCTCCTGGTTGAGGGTCTGCCGTACACATACATTTGTGTTTGACATTATTTATATTCTCTAAAGAATGCTAATCTGGGCACAGCTGTGTGTCGGTACTAACCCCACCTGATACATAGGGAAACATCACTTATGGAGCACCAAAAGTGTGTAGTGTGCTTCACAGGGCAAGGAAGCAAATAAATAACTTGGGGAGCATGCACACTAAATATTATGGGGACAAGAGCCATTGTTGGATTGTGCCAATACTTGGCAGCTGTCCAGGCCAACACTGCTTCTCTGGTGAGCTCAGAAGTTAGTATCCCATTTTTTTCTTTAAAGGATGAAGTCTCTAGCCCATATGGTGGCAAAGAGCTTCTGATTGTGGCTCAATGTCATACTGTCTCACTGAGCCTGCAGCCAGATAGCCGGAAACAATGGTTCTAGAAAAGAGATGGGAACTGCTGCTATTCAGCTCAACAGGTATTCACTCTGAAGCCAAATGACCACACTAAATATTTAGACATTGTTCAATATTTTATTGCTGAACACTTTAGCTGAAATGTGTGCTTATTCTGGGCTTGTAAGTAATGCATGAGTAGAATACCCACCACACTTCTGCTTCCCCACATCCAGTCCCTGACCAGAATGAGCGAGATTAGACTGTGTTCAGTGCTACTGAGCCTGAGCAAGGTTATATGAGCAACAAACCTTGGAGGGAAGAGAAGCTTGTCTGTGTCTGAAACCCTAACTGTCTCATTGTTCTGAGGTAGGGTTACCATATTTCAACAATCAAAAAAGAGGACGGGAGGAGCCCTGCCCTAGCCCCGCCCCTGTCCTGCCCTAGCCCCGCCCCTTCCACTCCCTCCCACTTCCTGCCCCCTCAGAACCCCCAACCCTCCCCCCCACGCCTTGTCCCCTGACTGCCCCAACCCTTATCCACACCCCCACCCCCAGACAGACCCCTGGGACTCCCACGCCCCATCCAACCACTCCCCACCCCCTGTCAGCCCACCCCCAAACTCCCGACCCATCTAAACCCCTCTGCTCCCTGTCCCCTGACTGCTCCAACCCTTATCCACACCCCCACCCCCAGACAGACCCCTGGGACTCCCACGCCCCATCCAACCACTCCCCACCCCCTGTCAGCCCACCCCCAAACTC